TTGGATACGAAGATTATCTATACGACCGCTCTCCCAGCACGGAAGCTTTAGGTCGAGCGTCGGTCCCGACTCACCATCCATAACCTTTTCCCACGGCTCTGCGGCGCCGATTCTGTCGCCAGTGGGACATCCGCCTCCTCAACCACCTCGGAATAAACTGGTCAAGCGTGCATCAGCTGTCAACGGTGGGAATACGGGTCCTCTAGTGCGGCGAGGGTCAAAAACGCAGATGACGCTGCGCAGACCGGCTACAAGTCACCAGCGATCCGCTACATTACATCAACAGATCAACAGCGATACGTCGCAGCCGTTACCAGATATAACCCTTGATCAGTGTAGTCGCCCTAGGGCCCAGACACTGACTAGTCCGGTTGAGCCTAATTTCGGTGCCAACAATAGGCCATCGAGGTGGAAGTCGTTTTGGCATTCTCGAATATTTCGAAGCCCGGCCAAATTATCGCCGCTGAGAGGCAACGATAGCGCTAGTGCGCCCGGTATAAAGCGAATCTGTGTAGAGCAACAAACTCGTCGACGAGTTTACTTAGTGGCGCCAGACTCTCTCGTCATGGGCTCATCTACTTTGGAGGTTCCAGCCGGTGACCTTACTGTATCAGAGAACCAGTCTAACACCGACAGCAGTCCGCAGTCCTCGACCAAGTCCTCGGAGTCCCCCGAAGGCACGCCCGCTAAACAACCTCGACGCTCTATTTCGATGCACTTCAATCCAACTTCGAACTGGATACCGAAAACTGGGAGTATACGACGACGTAAGCGCGGTGAGACTGTGGGTGAAACTAAACGGCACGTATCTGCCCCAGCCACAACAGGCGCGGACTCCTCAACTTTCTCCGATATGGCTGGTCATGGGGAGCTTTCGAAGGATGTCGGAGACCTGGATCACTCCGGGACAGGGTTATCTGTTGCACTTCAGCCAGCAACCCGCAAGCGAAATATTTCGTCTCCTCTACCGCCCATAACAAGACTTTCGAGCTTTCATATCGATTTGAATAAGTTCGGCTCATTGTCACCAGGCCTGCAGACCCAATTTAACGAATCAGCAACTAATACAGCGATAACCCCAAGAACTGTCTCTAATACATCACAGGCTCGGACATTAGAACGGGCCTCTACAACCGGCAGCTCTGAATACCATCGCGGGTTTACATCTGGTGATGATGATGACACAGATTTTAAGACAGATACGCCCTTTGACTCGATACGGACGGCGGCATCAGGATGCCAAAGAGGCCTCGATAGCCCATTAGAGTCAATGTTTGACGAGTCGCCCCCAAGTACTACTAGCCATAACAGCAAACCGAAACGATTATCGATCCAGGATATTCTAGGTCCGTCTTTTGATGGTAGGAATAAGATTATAGAGGAAGATGAGAGCATTCCTACGCCTGTTCGGGGAGTATATAGTGCGGCCGAATCACGATTTCTTACAGCGGATATTGAAAATCGGGATGGTTTTGACTCTATGCCAGCTTCTCCCAATTTCACTACACGCGGAGAGCTTTCTCGATTTTCACTGGACGACGATGACGATCTCGACTGGGGCAAAGAAGACGATAATGGAATATATAACCACCTATCTCCTCCTAGTTCCATGAATTCTCGAAAAGGTAGTCCAAATGCTCGAACTGCATTGTCCAACATCAACGGCAATGCGAGACCCAAGGCACGGATCGATTCCACGAGCGAACGACCTAGGAGCACCGTTTTTGACTGGACTGAACCTGTGGCCCATGAGAAGCATGACGGTATTGGTAATCATATGAGACCGAAAACCGTTCATGGTAAGCAGGAAATCGATATTAGAGGCGGGCGTACTGCGAGCCGTAGGGGTCCCACTCCCGCTCATGTGAGAAGTCAAAGTGTTCCCCTCGTTCCGGAATTGTTTGAGACCGCGACCTCGACTCCTAAGTTTGGAACCTGGGGGCTAGGCCAGAAGAACGCGAGCGAGGACTGGGATGATGACTTTGAGTTCGAGGAAGAAGATATCGATGGATTACTTGTCGGGAAAAACGAAGAATCGAAGGTCTCAATGGTTGTGCCTGCGTCAATTCAGGCTACGCAGCCTACCATCAGGGCTCACTCTGGACATATTAGGGAGCTTTCGCTTTTAGTTAACGATCTAAAGCGATTGTGTCGACTTGGTCGTGACATGGACATGCTTGGTGGATCGTCTGTAAAGCTCTGGCGAGAGGCTGAGGGCATCATCGCCCTGGCGTCGCCCGACGAAGATCCAGCAGAGGTTGCCGATTTTAAACCCGATTCTTCTGGCACGCCTACGCGATTCATCGACCAGGACTTTGAAGGGGCTGTGCATGATTCAAACGGAACTGCTAAGGTGACAGAGAGCCAACGGAATGCCGTTGTTCGCGATCGTCCTGCTGGCCGCCGTCGATCTGTCTTCTCACCAGAGGATGATATCTTCGGCACTTGGGATCACGCTGATGAGCCGGTCCCTGATCGACCGAAGACCCCAGAAAATCAAGTCGTCAACCCCGAATTCGGATCGACCAGTGTTGCTAGATCTGTTATGGAATCTATGCAGCCTCGACATTCAAGGACGAACCTAGGCCGCGAGTCATCTGGAAAGCTGAACTTTGATACGAATAGTCTGAAGGAGCTAGTCAAGCGTGCGAGCGATTTGAGAGATGGTTTATCCGACATCGTTCGCAAAGCAGATCACCTTACTCAGAGCCCCGTACGAACTCCGAAGCACACAAGGTCAGACGGAAGCCCTGCATTTACGCGAGTTTTTGACGACCCGACGTCCAGTCCTACAAGGCGGATACCTCATAGCCAAAGCAGCACCTCGATTCTTAGCAGCGGCTCAGTTGGGGCGTCTCCGTCTAATGGACTGAACCAGCGCATGCAGATGATGACGGTTAGCTAAAGAGTCCGTACCGAGAGTTCGCTCATCCGAAAACTTCCCCGATCCTCCCCATTCTCGAGCCCTCGTGGTCTAATTACAATGGGAACTGTATATGTAAAGACGCATGTATGACTTGCATAGCGTATGGTCGGTTATCGGTTTTTTCTTTTATTGCAAGATTACATACAAAGGAGACCTTGCATTTCCGCTTAATTACGTCGAGGAAACGCCAAACGAGATGGCTGTTGGCCTGATGTCGATTGTCGACCCGAGTACGAACTTGGGTTGTTCTACTTGATTCATGTTCCCTGGGTCTGAACCTGGATATACACCTTAATGCGGATTCCTCGAAGGATTATTAATATTGGCCGATCTTTTTCCACCACGATTCCGAATGCATCGGCGTTGGTACGTCTGCGAATGACGATATATTGCACCTATAGACTCACGGAGTATTATGAATACGAATTACGACTGCTGCATGCCCGGACCATGCTCGCACAATTCGACGGTTTGATCAGCCGTAGTGCACGAGATGGATCTTTCAAGGGTTCTTAATTCTATACATAGACGGGGACTGTGGGCAGAGGCCTAATCCCAATAACGCAGCAAACAACTTTGACGGGATTTGACAAGTCGCCTCCGCCTCGCATTATGCATAGCCTTTCCCTAGGCAGATGAAAAAAAGGGGTTACCGAAACCGAGATAACCTCCAATGATATATGCATTCTCGTTCGTCCAGGACATGCCACGAGTTTTTGGACGTCTCGACCTTGCGATGTTCATGGTGCCGGAAAACAGCTCGGTGTGACGAATCACTTTGTATTTGATTTCAGCATGGATGAAAGAAAAACGAATTGATTAGTTCTTTTTTGTTTCTTTTTTTCCGTAGTTTTTAAAAGGTACGGCATTGGCATGGCACTATGGTCTGGCACAGGCATACGGCATCAGGAGTGCATTCATCGTACAGGTAGACAGGTCGGCTTGGGTTATGGCAGGCTGGCTGGACAAAAACAAGTAGAAAATAGGAAATACTAGGCGATCGATTTGGTCGACCTTGTTAGGAATTCCGCTGCGGTCTTTCCGTCTTTGATGTTCGAGATATGTCCCGCTTATGTATCACTCCAGATTGTTTTTGATATGATATGATAGGATCGTGTTGTCACTATGGGGTTTAACCCACTCATCGTAGGAACAGCCACGTCTTATACAGTAAAAACTCGCCATAACGAATCTAGTATATAGCGAATTCGCTTTATAGCGAATTGAAATCCCGGATTCTTGAATTTTGTATGTAGATTAACGAATTTTTTTATATAACGAAATTCGTTAGCTTCGTGACAAATTACCACTAAATTCGTTGTAAAGTGAGTAAAGCTATACCGTTTTTAGCTTAGTACATAACTATTTCCGGAAAATATTTACCCAATTTTGCTTAAGCCCATGACTTTATATGGCTTTATGGTCTGTGCCTAAGCACCTTACCTTTTTAGGAGGTACTTTGTCGATGTACTTTATTTACTTAATAACGAATTCACTTTATAACGAATCTGACCCCGTGTTTTTTCAAATTCGTTATGGCGAGTTTTTACTGTATAGGCGTCTACACCGCCAAATATACATAGCGGCAAGGATACCGAAGTTGAAAATTGATTAGCTACCTGACCTATCTCATGTACGTATTCATCAGATGCTAATTTATAATCGAGGAGAATCTAGGCAGCAGAATAGACAATCGGTTTATTATCGTTGCTTCCGAGGTGCTTACGTCTAGTTAAATAACTCGCCTTATGTATAAATATAAATATAAATATAAATCCGAGCTGATGTTACATAAAAATCTCAGGCAGCAGGATAACTAAGTGACTGACTGACTGTATCACGTATGCTTCCATATTGATGCCACCGCGTTGGTTGAAGTGGTATTAGTGTTAGTGTTGTTGTTGTTGTTGATGTTGATGATAAGGAGATGCAGGCCTAGAAAGATGGTTGCCAAGCGCCCGCAGCTACGGTACACAATACTGTCAATATATGGTAAATTAGAAGTAATTAGACTAGCCTGTATGTACCTTGTACTTTCTCCGCCTCTATACCGAGATTATGGTCTGTGCTCTATGTTCCCCTTAAACAAGTGCAGCAAGTAACAGCAAGCGCAGTAGGAAAGCAGTGGCAGAGTGGGCAGCATTGAGAAAAAGAGGGGCCACCCCCTTGCCAGGCTATTGGAGCGATTGGAGCGATTGGGAGCGACCCTTTCCATTTTGGAAATTTACAAGCAAAAAAAGCTGCCCTCAACTTTCTTCCACCCAAAACCGCAAGGCACAACACAACTCTCTCTTCCTCAAACCACACAAACCACACACCGCTCCTCTTAGTTTTCCTCCCTTAAACTTCTACGACTACCATTCTCAGGAACGCATCCTTTTCTTACCTCTTCCTTCAGTCGTGTTCGATACTATCATAATCAACCACCGTCAAAATGCGTGAGATCGTAAGTCATATCAAATTCTTGTTTACCCCTAACCGAAGCCTAGTATCACTAGGGAGAAACCCCTGAACGCGTCCGAAAAAAACTCCAAATCCCCCTTAGTTCTGCCCCTCATATACACAACGCCGCCATATCTACATTTCATATTGCAACTACATCAAATTGTATAGCAACGTGTCGGGAAATTCAAAGCTAACCGTGTTTCGTCAATAGGTTCATCTTCAGACAGGCCAATGTGTAAGTAACAGCGATCATCGAAGAACCACGGATATAAAAATACAGCGGGGCTTACACGAAGATGATAGGGTAACCAAATCGGTGCTGCTTTCTGGCAAACCATCTCCAGCGAGCACGGTCTCGACAGCAATGGCGTGTATGTATTCGACTTGTCCATTCTTACTACTAAGAATATCTAACTAATCATCAATCAACAGTTACAATGGTACTTCCGAGCTCCAGCTCGAGCGCATGAGCGTCTACTTCAACGAGGTACGAATTTATAGGAACCAGGGATAAATAAATGGGGATAATTGCTAATTGCCTCTACGCGTGCAGGCTTCCGGCAACAAGTATGTTCCTCGTGCCGTCCTCGTCGATCTCGAGCCCGGTACCATGGACGCCGTCCGTGCTGGTCCCTTCGGTCAGCTCTTCCGACCCGACAACTTCGTCTTCGGTCAATCCGGTGCCGGAAACAACTGGGCCAAGGGTCATTACACTGAGGGTGCCGAGTTGGTTGACCAAGTTCTCGATGTCGTTCGTCGTGAGGCTGAAGGCTGTGACTGCCTCCAGGGTTTCCAGATCACCCACTCCCTCGGTGGTGGTACCGGTGCCGGTATGGGTACCCTGTTGATCTCCAAGATCCGCGAGGAGTTCCCCGACCGTATGATGGCCACCTTCTCCGTCATGCCCTCCCCTAAGGTTTCCGACACCGTTGTCGAGCCTTACAACGCCACCCTCTCCGTCCACCAGCTGGTCGAGAACTCCGACGAGACCTTCTGTATCGACAACGAGGCTCTGTATGACATCTGCATGCGCACGCTGAAGCTGTCCAACCCCTCGTACGGTGACCTGAACCACTTGGTCTCTGCTGTCATGTCCGGCGTTACTACTTGCTTGCGTTTCCCCGGTCAGCTAAACTCTGACCTGCGCAAGCTTGCCGTGAACATGGTTCCTTTCCCTCGTCTCCACTTCTTCATGGTCGGCTTCGCCCCCCTGACCAGCCGTGGCGCTCACTCTTTCCGTGCCGTCACCGTCCCTGAGTTGACTCAGCAGATGTTCGACCCCAAGAACATGATGGCTGCTTCCGATTTCCGTAACGGTCGCTACCTGACGTGCTCAGCCATTTTGTATGATATCCCCTTTAAATTTTTATGCACATTACTTGTTTGCTGACTTGAATTCTCTAGCCGTGGTAAGGTCTCGATGAAGGAAGTTGAAGACCAGATGCGCAACGTTCAGAACAAGAACTCGTCCTACTTCGTTGAGTGGATCCCCAACAACGTCCAGACCGCTCTCTGCTCGATTCCTCCCCGTGGCCTCAAGATGTCTTCTACCTTCGTCGGTAACTCGACCGCTATCCAGGAGCTGTTCAAGCGTGTCGGCGAGCAGTTCACTGCCATGTTCCGACGAAAGGCTTTCTTGCATTGGTACACTGGTGAGGGTATGGACGAGATGGAGTTCACCGAGGCTGAGTCCAACATGAACGACTTGGTCAGCGAATATCAGCAGTACCAGGATGCCGGTGTCGACGAGGAGGAAGAGGAATTCGAGGAGGAGGCCCCGTTGGAGGAGGAGTAAGCGTTCCGTCATATACCCCATATCCATAAGCGGCAACCTACGGAATGGTGGCACGGCACGGGTGGGTGACTAAGGCATGTCACGGTTTTGTGGTTCCCGCTTCCCTATACTATTCTCACGCCCCCTTCGTTACCCAGACGTTCAATGGATATAGTAGTACCTTAATAAGAAATTGATCAACCGTGGTCAATTGAACTGTCTGCGGGGCTTGTTAGATATACCTCTTTGGTGTGCGTCTGGAGAGAAAAAAGGAAAAATTATTCATTAGTAGTAACAAGAACAATAATTGATCGTCTTGTACTAATTACTTACTATTCTTGGCCTGCGTTTTCGTAGGGCCTGTAATACAGTTCCATTCCGACTTGTGAAGAGTGATGTGTATCGTCTATATTTGCCCGTTAGAGACTAGTGATGGGTTTCTACGTTCCTCAACTTGATTCCTCTTATATGGTTCTCATACAAGCATAAGCGTCTCTTAGTTGAACTGAAAAGAATAACCATTCGGTTACTTATAAGTGCGTAAATGGCTTGGATTCTCCCGATTTATTATTAATCATAAGTCTACTACCAAACACTTCCCATGACGTAAGGGGATTCTAGGCTTTCCGGACGATTACTTATGCGAAATCCTTAGGAGCTATCAGTAAACACCGAAATTTAAATCCATTATCCTTGTCATTCACCCTTGGGATAACTTATATCTCATTTCCTTCTGTCTTGATCGACTATAAACTCCGCGTCGTGGTAGCTTGTCGGCGCGTCTTATTGCCGATTACTGTGCTGAATAATAGAGACGCGGAGGCGTAGCAGGATGGAATTGCGTCGACTTACCTATGTAGGGTGTTCATGAGGGAGGTATGGTTGCTGCTATGCTGTATGCGGGTGGGTAGATGTTTAGCAAGTATATAATTTGGATGATGCCTACGTGAATAGATACCATGAATGAGATTTACTTATAAGTCGCGGACCGCTTCCTACTCAACTTTACTTAGAATACTATATATAAACCGAACTGCTCAAAGAGAGAGAGAGAGAAATAGCTTATACGACCATGGCTACCTCCACCACCAACGACAACTCCCTGCCCAAGCCGTCGCACTTCCCCTTGGCCGGGGGTGCCAACGACGGCTGGTCCACCGAGGACGAAGCTACGGCGACGTGCTACTGCGGCGCCGTGCAGCTGTCCTTCGTAAGTCTACCTTACCTTACCTTAGCTATTCCAACATGGCCTTACATATAGTATGTACATCTCATCTAACACTACCACAACAGCCAACCCACGGCCCGGGCCTAGTCGACGTGTTCGTGTGCAACTGCTCCGACTGCCGGAAGATCACAGCGTCGATGTTCGCGACGGGCTTCATCGTCAAAGATACACACTTGAAGCACGTGCGCGGGCGGGAGAATCTGAAGACGTATGGACAGGATAGGACTATTGCTTCTGGACACACGTATGTATGTCTTTATTAAGAAAACTTTCCTTGCTTACTTACGTCACATTTTTTCGGAGGAAAGTTTTCGCTTTTAAATTTGAACCGGGGGGGGGAGGGCTTAAAATTCAGAAACACAAACCAATACGCAATAAAATTAATAAAATAAAGATTTAACCAATTAGGTTACTTAATTAATTAGGTTAAAAAAATACACCTAATTAAATCACTTAATTTTAAACATTAACTAATACGCAATTTAATTAATTAAATAATAAATAAAATAAATAATAAAATAAAACATTTAATTAATATAAAATAACGTGATTTATAACTTCGATAATTATTGCTATTATAATAAACAAGTTAATTATATAAAATGTACGCATTTTACCAAAAACCTTAAATTTACAGTTTAATAAATAAACCAATTAAATTAAATATAACTTTAATTTAATATTACTTATATTATTAAACTTTAATTTATATAATTACTTTTAATTGGTTAATAATAACTTATATATATAACGTTTTTTTTTTATTTAAAATTTAACCTTTTTTTACTTTTTACACTTTTTTACCTAATTTACTTTAACACCATATATATATTACTTGTTTATTAATATTATAATATTGTGAATTTTATTTTTAGTTATTATTGTTAATGTTTTTACCAGGTATATATTAATTTATTATCCTTTTTTTAATTATTTTAATATTATATACGTATTATTAATTTATTAACATTATAATATCGTAAACTTTACTTTTGTTATTATTGTTAATGCCATTTATAAATACGTATTAATTTTTTATATTTTTTTTAATATTATATACATATCGTTTATTTATTAATATTATAATATTATAAACTTTATTTTTATTAATTTAATCTTTTAATAACTTATATATATAATAACTACTTTTTTAACATTTAACCTTTTTTTTCCTTTTATATTTTTTTACTTATTATTATATATATATTATTTATTTGTTAATATTATTATATTATAAACTTTATTTTTATTAATTTAATTTTTAATGGATTAATTTATTAATTTATTAATTTAATTATTAATTAACTAATTAATTTAATTAGTAATTTATATATAATAACTTTTTTTTTAACATTTAACTTTTTTTTTTTTTTTTTTACATTTTTTTACTTATTATTATATATATATCGTTTATTTATTAATATTAAAGTATTATAAACTTTATTTGTTTATTATTATAAACTTTTACATAAAGTTATTAAAAAGCAATTTTCAAGTATACGTTATTAACTTAACTTTGTATTACGTAATTAACTTGTTTATTTTATTTTTTATAATTAATTAAATATAACGTTTCCGTTTATTTTATTATTTAATACTTTTTTATTTTTATATTTTTTTTTTTAATTTTTTTTAATAATATAAATCCTTTGTTTTATTATTTAAAAAATAATATCGTAAACTTTATTTTTATTTTAATAAAATCTTTTTAAAATGTTTAATAAATTAACTAAACGCATGTTATAAATTGTAAAATAAAAGCTTGCCGTAAATAATAATTTATTATTAAACACTTTTCGGAAAAACCGTTAAAAGTAACGAGGGGTATAAAAGGGTATTTTTTTATATTAAAAATATTAATTTTATATATAAAATAACTTATATATCGTTATTTTATAAATCTTATTAACCATATATATAATTACAAAGTTAATTACGTAAATTTTTTTTTTTATTACATATATAATATAATTAAATATATTACTTTTTTACATACAAATAAGCAATCTAAAATTGTAACAAAATTATAATTTTCAAGTTATAACGAAAAAATTTTCGTCCCTAAAATAATGCTTGCTCGATTTTCACATTGTTTAGTACTTACTTACTTACTTACTTTACTTACTTACTTACTTACTTACTTACTCACTGGATACTTATACTTGGGCTCAACTGACAAACTCGTCACAGCACGACCAACTACTTCTGCAACACCTGCGGCTCCCTCATGTACCGCGTCAGCGCCGGATTCCCGGGCCACAGCGCCCTGCGCCTCGGCACCGTGGACGACTTCGCGCTGCACGAGACGGAGCTGAAGCCGCGCGTGGAGCAGTATGTTAAGGATCGGGTTGGTTGGCTGCATGGGGCGGAGGGCGTGAGACAGGTGCAGGGGAGCGCTTATTAGACTTGTGGAGAGTAGATTGGGTATTTATGTAAGGGGTAGATGAGTATATTATAAAAAGAGAGGGCGTTAATGAGATGAGAAAAAAAGAAAAGAATATGAAATTGTCGAATTTGCTGTCCATGCAGATCTGTAAATATCGATCTTCGGATGCAGGTACTTATTCATTTGTAAGTCTTGATCTAATGCGAGAACCCGATAATTCAAGACATATATATATTCCAGGTACTTATACATCTCCATGGAAACCAAACTCATATTTCCAGTCAAAGACATCTCCGAGTCATTCACATTTATAAAAAGCCTCACGAATCAACCGACGATAAATAATAATAAGCCCCAATACCGAACATAGTCCGTAAATGCGCCGATACACCATCCACGCATAATATCATAACATAATAAAAGCCCAACGTCTTCTGTTCTAGGCCAACCCTCGTATGAGATGAAGAGAGAGAGCAAAATATATATAAATAAACGAACGAACGTCGCCGGAGATGCAGAATTCCTCGGGCGAGCAGTGAATGTTGAATAATAGCAACGAATCAAGCGCTGCTTTCTTTCTCCGCGGCCATCGGGTCCCCTTTTAATTGGTCAATCGTGTGTTACCTTATCGAAAGGTCCCCCTTTTTATCACCTTGTCGGTCCACTCCCCCCTGGCTCGGCTCTAGGCTTAGCATTTACATAGTGTACTGACATACCTACCTATATACGACGATTATTAGAGCAGTCGACGACCGCTAAGCTCAGCATAACAGGGCGTGTAGCGTGCTGTTAGATTATGGTGATATCTTCGATGGAGCATACCTAGTAAGTAGGTAGCTAGACGAGAATAGCGGGCCGTATTCTCGAGATCCTAGATAATTCTAGTTAAGCTCCTGTATAATATACCAGGAATACCCAATGGGAGTCCTGGAGATCTTGGCTGTAGTCAGCTTTTCTTACCTACCAGTGATAGGTTCGGAGATGCACATATCTCACTGGGAGGCATATACTATGGATGTGATCCTGTCGTCTATTTTGTCGTTGGACAACCCGCCTGCTAACCCGCCTGCTTTGCTCTGCCCTGCTCCGTAGTCTTGTGATTTCTCCCTACCGTCTCATACACTTCTTCGTTGTGTAATACTTCCCCTATCTTTTAAACATCATTAATCGTATTAGCAACGCCCCTTTACATATTGTAACACGGCATATGTAAGCAGAGTTGGGGTTTGTGACGTAGTAGTCGACGAATCCATCCTATCTACTTCAACGTCAATATGGCCGTCGATAAGAGGAAAACCCTGGTTGTTGTCGGCCTGGGAATGGTCGGCATCGCATTCATGTGAGCGACTACTCATCTTAAGAATTCGGAATCGTGTCAAGTTTCTAATCAGTTTAACTATAGAGAAAAACTCCTGAAGCTCGATGTTAGGACTCGCGAATATGATATTATTGTCATCGGCGAAGAACCCCACCTCGCATATAATCGAGTTGGTCTCACGAGCTTCTTTAGCCACCGGAAAGTCGAGAACTTATACCTTAACCCAAAGGAATGGGTAAGTCTCTGCTTCAAGACAGATCCTATGTCTAGATGTGTTACTTATAAGAAATTTAGTATGCGCTGCAAGCTCCGGACAACAAATTGAGTTATCATTTGAACACCTTGGTCACCAGCATCGATTCTACAAATAAAACAGTATCTTGCGCCAACGGCGACGTCGTCTCATACGATATCCTAGTTCTAGCAACTGGTTCCGATGCCGTTCTTCCAAGGCATACCCCCGGCCACGACGCCAATGGAGTCTTCGTCTACCGGACCATCGAAGACCTAGAAAAACTCATCACTTTTAGAGAGTCTCATAAAGGGACAGTCGGAGTCGTCGTCGGCGGTGGCTTGCTCGGCCTCGAAGCGGCGAATGCCATGATGGACTTGCAATGCTACGAAAGGGTAAAACTAATCGAGAGGAATCGATGGGTCCTAAGTCGACAGCTGGATGCTGACGCTGGTAACTTGGTTGTCGAAAAAGTTACAGCCTTGGGACTTGATATATTACTAAGTAAGAGAGTGGGAAAGATAAACACAGACGAAGAAAATAATGTCACAGGAGTTATATTCGAAGATGGCGAGCAAATGGACTGTTCCACTATTTGCTTTGCCATCGGTGTACGGCCGCGGGATAGCCTGGCAAGAAGCGCTGGTATCAAGTGCGCTGATCGGGGAGGTGGAATCCTCGTCAACGACGACTTGAGTACGAGTATTCCCGATATCTACGCCATCGGAGAGTGCGCGAGCTGGAAAAACCAGACGTTCGGCCTCATCGCCCCTGGTGTCGAGATGGCCGACGTGCTATCATTCAACCTAACACAAGCCAAGCTCCATCAGCCGAGAACTTTCAAGCGACCCGACTTGAGCACCAAGCTGAAGCTCCTCGGAGTTGACGTCGCCAGTTTCGGTGACTTTTTCGCCGACAGAGACGGCCCTAGTTCCCTACCAGCAAAAGCAGCGAGGAAAAAGACGGACGACCAGAGCGCCGTCAAGAAAGTCGTCAGCGGGCCTCCTCCGCCGCCGGTCAAGGCTCTTATATACAAGGATCCATTCGCCCAGGTATATAAGAAATACCTATTCACCACCGATGGAAAATACCTGCTCGGCGGGATGATGATTGGAGACACTAGCGATTATATAAAATTAGTGCCTATGGTCAAGAACCAGAAAGAACTCACTATCCCCCCAGCCGAACTTATTCTCGGCGCGAAGAAAGAAGGCGATGATGGCGCTGCTGATCTTGATGACGACACGCAAGTTTGCTCTTGCCACAACGTCACGAAAGGGGATATAGTCCAGAGCGTAAAGGACGGCACGTGTAAGACGATAGGGGATGTTAAAGCTTGCACCAAGGCCGGTACAGGTTGCGGTGGTTGCATGCCCCTCGTCACAAGCATTTTCACCAAGACTATGACCGACATGGGCGCCGAGGTAACAAATTACCTGTGCGCGCACTTCAACTACTCTCGTGCCGATTTATATAACATCATCATGGTTAAGAGACTAAAGACTCTTCCCGATGTGATGCGAGAAGCAGGAAACGACAAGAACTCAGTCGGCTGCGAAGCCTGCAAGCCCGCCGTGGCAAGCATCTTTGCGTCGTTATGGAACAAGCACGTCATGGACAAGACTACACACGGTCTGCAAGACACCAACGACAGATTCCTGGGTAACATCCAGCGAAACGGTACATTCTCGGTGGTCCCTCGTGTTTCTGCCGGTGAGATCACACCAGAGAAGCTGATCATCATCGGCGAGGTCGCGAAGAAGTATAACTTATATACCAAGATCACCGGTGGACAGCGGATCGACATGTTCGGTGCTAAGAAGCAGGATTTGCTTGACATATGGACCAGACTGATAGAGGGCGGTATGGAAAGTGGACATGCCTATGCTAAATCATTACGTACTGTTAAGAGCTGCGTTGGAACGACGTGGTGTAGATTTGGTATGGGAGATAGTGTGGGTATGGCGGTACGTATAGAGGAGCGGTATAAGAGTATACGAAGTCCGCATAAGATAAAAGGGGGTGTCAGCGGTTGCGTGCGCGAGTGCGCCGAGGCTCAGAACAAGGAGTAAGCATCTCACCTAATATCACAACCCAGACAGATTACCATACTAACGACTCGATAGCTTCGGACTCATCGCCACAGAAAAAGGCTTCAACATCTTCGTCGCGGGCAATGGCGGCGCGAAGCCCAAACACTCTGAACTCCTCGCCAAGGATGTCCCGCCGTCAGAAGTCATCCCGATCTTAGACAGGTACCTGATGTTCTACATCCGCACAGCAGATAAGCTACAACGTACGGCGCGATGGCTGGAGAACCTACCAGGCGGTCTACGTTACCTAAAAGAGGTCATCCTGGAGGACAAGCTAGGTATTTGCGCTTCGCTTGAAGCCCAGATGCAAGAGCTAGTGGATTCCTTTTTCGACGAATGGGCTGAAGCCGTACGGAACCCGATAATCGCCTCCAAGTTCAAGCAGTTCGCCAACACGGACGACACGGTCGAGACCGTGGAGACGGAGAAGGACCGCGGGCAGACACGTCCCGTGTACTGGCCCAAGGACGCGGCAGCCGAGGACTTCGCCGGCCTGAAGGACCGCTGGTCCTCTACGGCCTGGCAGCCTGTCATCGAGGCTAACTACTTTGCTGGTGCCGATGCTACGCCTAACGGTATTAGTGCGAATATCAAGCGTGGTGACACTCAGCTTGCGCTTTGGCGTGTTAGGGGAAAGTATTACGCAACGCAGCAAATGTGTCCGCACAAGCGGTCCTTTGCGTTGTCGGATGGGCTCATCGGGCAGGACATCTCCCCGCCATCACCTCCGCCATCACCGCCCTCATCCCCCTCAACCGATCCTACCACTACTAAAAAAGAGCCATGTAACGACCCCAAAGCACCATGGGTCTCATGCCCATTCCACAAGCGCAACTTCGACCTGGATTCCGGAGCATGCCGCAACGACTCTTCTATGTCTATCGCTACATTCGCCGTGGAGGAGCGCACCGACGGTATGGTGTACCTAAAGCTGCCCCCAGTTGAGGAGCTGGATGCGGCACTGGGAACTACAAAGTGGATGGTGCGGAAAGAAGACGGAGGGTCGGGTCAGTTCGGCGAGCTCGATCGCCGGATCGGGTTCAAGGGGCGCCGGGGGAAGAGGCCGGCAGCGACGGGTGACGCAGAATTGTCGATGCGGAAACCTGTGGAAGTGTTGCCGAACGGTGGGGGGTGTGGTACTGCGCCGGAATGGTAGGTAGTCATGTTATCTAGATATCTCATGGTTGTATATATTTTATCTGTACATGTGTAGCGTATGGAGCGTCTTTGGATACACCTTCGGGCCAAGACGACATTGTCTGAAGTTTATGATACGTTTTTCAGCTGCTTGAGAATACAATCTCGCGTTATGATGTTGATTTAGTTGTATGACCAACGTTCGACTGTAGGCGAGCTTCAGCTGTAAGATGGGGCTGAAACAGGGCTACACTAGCATACGAAGGATTGTATGTAGGAGGCTCCATTCTCTCATCCGAGATTACTCTTTACAGTGTCGGGTGCGGCGTAGTAACGATGATAGTGGCCTGTTTGGCTGTCTATTTTGGTCATGAGATTAAATTACCTGTATGTAGGGGTAGAAGCTTGGACCTGACTACCCCAAAGTCCATCGCGATGGGAATGGCGTTCCTTTGTTTCTAGAACACGAGACGGACTGTGTCCGCGCGGGATTGGTTTCATAAGTCGCGTGTACGAAGCCATGGAGCGGCGCACTGGTCTTCTTCATCCTTCTAGAACGAATCCCCACGATCCTACTTGGACATTTGTGTTCGACTTTGCGTCATCCATGGGGGGACAGTTATGGAGGCTCTAAGACGGAGTATCAGAATGATACTCAATCGGGAGAGTAGATGACAGCACCTGCTATATATAGCGTTGCCAACCTTTACTTTGGACTCCGTGGTACGGCATGGCCGATAGAGTGACAATCCAGAAGACTTACACGTGGCGGCTGATTTTTGACGTCTTGCCCGCCACGAGGCAACTAAAACCGAAGAGCCGTGCGATCCATGCGCATGAGCATGAGCACGAGCACAAGCACGGAGCACGACGTTCAACAGTTGCTTAATCCAGTGCGTCGATGGTGCTCAAGGGAGCATTCGAAACATTGAACCGTCACTTATCACCTTGATAAGCCGGGTTGTCATTGACAACTTTCAAGCTTCCCAGCTGCCCAGTTAGTACACAGACAAGGACACGGACAGGATGTTTAAATTTGCCGTTGACTATTTATAGCGGATCGGAGCTAGCCCATTTCTGCATGTTGGTTGGTTCCAGTGACGTGCGACTGGATACGGGGTTTGGAGATGACATTCTGGAATAGTTCCATGTCTTGGTAGCTTTGAGACTGTTTCAGGTAGATTCCGCCTCGCGATAATCGTATATGTAGAGCGCGCAATTGTTTGCAATTGTTTGGATCCCGAGTAGTTCACGTTAGGGACGCAGCGGCGGGATTTGAGTGGTAAGACTTAAGGAATTCTGACAATGACAGACGAAAATAATATATACTATCTTCTTGGAGTATGTAATCTCTGCTGAGGCTTACGGGATGAAGTTCAAACAAGTTACGTGCGTTAGGAAGCATCATTAGGAAGCATGGTGAATGGTTAAACAAACAGTATTATGTGATCTTGGCTTCTGATGATGAGAATCGCAGATGCGAAAATAAGAGATGGGATAGGGGGGAGCAGGGGGAAAGATACATACCTACCTGACTAGCCACGCAGGAAGCCACAAACAGTGAATACCTCCAGACTGAAACACTGTTCGACATTAGAATCTTGCCCATTGAGGCTAGGTCAAGATGCATGTACTCTATCTCCGTGGCAAGTGCGTATGTGGCCTCCTGGACCTCAAGATGAAGGTGGAGTTGGGAAAGCCACACGTTCGAACGCACGAGGCAGCAAGCACATGGAAAAGTCCGCAGCTGAGCGGCGTCGATCCTGCCATGTTACCTATCAGCAAGTTCTACATAAGGCAAAGTCTAAAGTAAGGTCTAAGATGTCCCCATAAAAATTCAGGTTTCTCATTCTCATCTCATACGCAAAAGTTACAGGCAATAATGACATGTAGTATTACATAGTGTATTGTGCAAGTCCGGTCCCCTAATTACCTGCGCTACTCCTAATTACCTGCGCTACTAGACTTGACTTAGGCTTATTGGTATATTGTACAGGATACTACGACCTGCTGCAATCTCCCTATGCCGCAATACGACACAGTGCCGTACTGGTACTTGTGAGACGCTACCTATCCCGTTCTGCCCGGTGCCGTACCAATTGCCAATCGCCGACGGTACCTAACATACATGGAGTAGGTACCTACATGGAGTACATGCAAAGAAGTACATACCTAAAAGGTTATTGGATTTGAACCAAACCAATTTAGTGCTTTTCTTCTTTGCTCTTAGTTCAATCAATGTTCTCCCTCCTCCCTCCCTATTACAATTATTACATACCTACATAGCATTGAAACCTTTGTTATTGTTCATTGTCAACCACTTTCACTCTACCCCCGGGCCCTAGCGCTGCTTATTATTGCTTCTTCTACTAGACTGGTTGTTTCTCTACTATTACTTACATACCTCCTAAAAACAGCTAATAATAACAATAACTTGCCCGGTTTGGCCAGGCTGAGGATACATTCAGACATTCATAACCTAGTAGGGATCTTAGAGTGGATCTTTCTGACCTCCTGACATCTCGTTCTCCCTATTATTATTTTTATCTCCTTGCGCTTAATAACTGGTTTATCTTTCTTGGTCTTTTCCAATCATTCATTGTTAAATCGTTAAATCGTCATCTGTTCACCGTCTCCCCGCGGCTGAACACGAGTAGAATTACGGAAGCCGGGCGTTGATACCCCCAAGTTTCCCTATGGGCAACAGTCAAGGCAAGCCCGTTGATCTCAACGGCGAAGGTATGTTTTTTTTCTCCAATGTTTAAAAGGGGTCCGGACTCTACCCGTTGTCTCGGGACTACCGTTTGCCGTGTCGATGTCAATAGCTAACCGAGTGCCATCTTCCATTGCTTATTAGTGAACCTAAACCATTTCCGATTATTACGAGTCGTCGGTCGCGGTGCTTTTGGTAAAGTGCGAATAGTCGAACGAAAAGATACCAACCTAGCGTTTGCCCTAAAGTACATTCGTAAAGATGAGGGTGCGTCGACTTCTAAAATACCAATCCTTACATATATCTAAATGATGAGAGAGTCAACGGGTATTGATATTACTTTGCCTCCGTAGTCGTACGATCTGAAAGCGTCCGAAATATTATACGAGAACGACGCATGCTCGAGCATGTGAACCACCCTTTTATCTGTAACTTGCGCTATAGTTTCCAAGATATCGAGTATATGTACGCATCAACTACTACCCTCAATATCAAAACGGCCCATCTAATTCGATTTGCACAATAATAGGTACCTTGTGGTTGACTTGATGAGCGGAGGCGACCTGCGTTTTCACATCTCGAGAAAGGCTTTCACTGAAGAGGCTGTGCGTTTCTGGATAGCGGAATTGGGATGTGCGCTCAGATACATACACGGGCAAGGCATAATACATCGAGATGTGAAGCCAGACAACGTGCTACTAGATGCCGACGGCCATGTTCACTTGACTGATTTTGTGAGTTGCTTTGCCTTTACCCCGCCGTTCGCAACGGCTAACAACTTGTTACCTAGAACGTTGCCTCAGACGTTATACCCGGAAAGCTTCTCACGAGCAAATCGGGAACTCTTGCGTACCTCGCCCCCGAAGTATATGCAGGTAAAGGCTACGACGTAAGGGCCGATTGGTGGTCGCTGGGGGTACTGTTTTACGAATGTATCTACAACAAGGTACGAATAAGCCCATCTTTTCGAGACTTGACGATCAAGTCATGTGCTTACTATGATTATAGCGGCCATTTGAGGGCAATTCGGAATCTACCTTAACGAATGTCATCCTTGCAGCAAGCCCGAAATTCCCCGTCACTCAACCTCCAGTCTCACTACCATGTCTGTACGCCATCGGTTCTGCTCTAAATCCGAACCCCGACAAGAGGCTTGGTCACACCTGGCAAAGCTTCATAAGCGAATCCTTCTTTCAGTGCATTGACTTTGAGGCTTTAGAAAGAAAAGAAATGGAGCCTGTATTTATCCCATCGGCAGACAAGACCAACTTCGATGCTACCTACGACCTCGAAGAATTGTTATTAGAGGAAGCGCCACTGGAGGCCAGGGCGCGGAGGCAAAAACCCAGGGAGAGGTTAAAGGATGACGCCACTGAGAAGGAGATCCGGGAAGAGGAGCTATACCGTACCATCGAGCGGGAATTTCAGCCGTTCGATTACACTGTAGCAGCTTATAAGAAGTGAGTGACTTTTACTACCCAGTTACCCCATTCGCTAACCATGGATCAGAATTACGGCACAGCAAGCGGATGGAACCGGAGATAATAGTCCTGCTCTGAGCCCAGCCAATGAAGAGCCTCGTGCCATCAGTACCGACGAGGCCAAACCAGCTCCAACCAACAATAGAGCTCCGCAGCAATACCAATCTTCACCTGTACAAAATAAACCCCCGTCGGATAAGAGTATTACGACGAGCGGTAGCCGCAGCGCAGCCAAAAGCGCACCTCGGCCCCCAGCGCCGCTTCCATCATATCACCGCACATACAGCAAGAGCGTTTCCCAGTCTTCAGGTCTACAAGTCAAATCCCCCAGCGGCGGCATATCGGTCACGTTGGAGGATACGGGCAGCTGGTCGGATCTAGCGCGTAGGGATGCGACGTTACCGGCCGATGCTAATGTCACGAGTGAGGATAAGTCGTCTGGGGGTGGCGGCGTCTTTGGACTCTTTGGCCGAAAGAAGAGGGGACATAGTCCAAAGCCAAAAGAGAGGGGAGTTTTGGGTAAAGAAGGGGCACGACAGATAATTGGTTGATACCACCTCCGCACTGGATATTATTGGGCGCATCGGCGTCTTCTGGGTATTGGGAATGGGCCACTAGGACTGCTGTGAGCTTATTACAACGCAATCTCCTCCGCTCATCGTAGGGAGAAATCCTTCACGATGATTAACGTGTCGGCTAAGCTAAGTGGCATTTTCGAGTCATTTCGATATCACTGGCGAACCAGATCAGACTCGTCGATTCGGCGGATTACAATATTTCTAGCGGCTCCGAGTTTTGCGGATACTATGTGCCGCGAACGAAAACGAGTAAACAGCCTTGTTGAAGCAAAAGCTGTGTCTCACTCTTTCGGAGCGAGTTGATGCAGGCTGAACCAACCCCTTTCAATACCCGCCCCACGAGCCCCTTTAAGTGAGCTCACCCTGGGCTATATTATAATACGGAACTATCGTCCAGTGGCCATAGTCTCCTTAGGAGTTGATTCGAATTCCAAGCGGTTTTATCCGCAATATTAATCGAAGTCAGCACGACACATGCATTAGGCACTCTCCATTGGAAGACCTCGGAATGGAGGTTTTGCAAGATTCTTGGGCGATATGGTTTATAGCACCCGCCGCTAAGAGTAATCTACGAGGAATACGAGGTGGCAACGTCCATATTTGGGTAGTGGCGAGTGCAGTGCACAAACAACTACAATCAGTGTTCTATAATGGTGAAGAATGGGATATCCAACCCCTACGCTTGATAAGTAGAGAACATGAAATATACATAATTGTAAACGATTTATTTTGATCTATTGCGAGTTACCTTTGATTTATCTCATACTAGTTACGATTGGTGTAACTGTCGGCGCATATATACAAGCAAATAGCAGTTGTGAGTTTAGATTGGTTGGTTAACTTTTCTAAATCTATGAAACTCGAAACCAAGAATAACACAAGCCATCTAACTTGTTAGCTCTCGAATAATATAGACATAATGACCATGCTTCAATCAGAAGAGTTAGAAGAGATGTCAGTAAGCAATACGAAATATTCGTTAGAGAATGTGTTTGACGTGAGTCTTTGCAAGCATTAAGATCGTGGTTGAGCCAATGAAAGACCCGGCTTTCTATGCATGTCCGAGGCGTATAGTCTTAGAATGTGTCGACGCTGAGTTATACGTATAAGTGAGTAAGTCGAGCTCATAGCCTCATTAATACATGTTAAGTCGACATAACTCTACCTATTACACCACTAGATATAAACAAATTTCTGAAGGTCGTATAAGAATGAAGTATGAGTATACACCACTCGACCCAGCGTCGCAAGACATTCGCTTGGTCACCATACTCCCCGGGAAATTCGACGACCCTATCCAGATCAAGATCACTCACGCCCCGCTCATCCCGCCTACCCAAGGTGATAAACCAAAGCGGATGTCGCTGGCCTCCCTACGGGGAACCATTCCTCAGAGCTGGAACGCCCGCGAGACCTTAGAGGGCCGTATTATCTTTCGGAATTACGACGGGGGGTATTCTTCCTGGGACCATCCCGATCCTAATTTCCCGCGCGACAGGTACGAACTTCCCGAAGACGGGAAGCCGAGTGTTAAGTTTGAGGCGTTGTCGTATACTTGGGGTTCACCCAAGGTTAGGGAGAAGGCGGTGGTTCAGGGTGAGGAGGAGGTTAGAGGGTTAAAAGCGTTGAGGACGCAGCGTCTGCCTATTCAGGGGAACCTCCAGGAGGCGATGCGTCACCTTCGGTATGAGGATAAGGGCCGGGTTATGTGGATCGATGCTCTTTGTATTAACCAAGACGACCTTGATGAGCGGAGCGAGCAGGTCAAGCGCATGGGGTTGATATACACGCTCGCTCATAGGGTTATAGCATGGCTAGGCCCCGGCTCCCCAAGCAGCGACCTCGCATTTTCCAAGCTGGCATACCTCGGCCGACAAATCGAGCACACCAAAGACGGCACAATGCTCTCCGCACCCGACTGCACGGAAGATAAATGGTTCTCGAGCAAGAACGCCCTGCCCTGGGACACCGCCACATGGGACGCCATCTCCGGGGCCTGTTCGCGGGACTGGTTCGCGCGTCTCTGGATCGTGCAGGAGATTCATCTCGGCAACACCAACTCCGTCCTAAAATGCGGCCAGAACGAGATCCCATGGTCTTTCTTCCGCAGAGCTATCATCTGCATCCACGCCAAGGACGTCGGCGTGCCCGAGAAGATGCTCTGGCACAAGACGCAGCAGATCAAGTTCCTGTGCGAGCACCTCGCGGACATGGCGTTTACGGATGTGCTTAAAAGTTAAGAACCACCACATGCGTCCGTGCTTAAACGAGCGGGATAAGATTTACGGGCTGCTGAGTCTGGCGCCGCCGGAAATTACGAGGTATATCACCCCGGATTATAAGATGTCGCCGCTCGAGGTGTTTAGGAGCGTCTTTTGGGCGTTTGTGAGGCATGAGAAGCGCGTTTCGCTGCTGCCGTATGCGGGGCGGAGGTACGCTACTACTACTACTACTACTACTACTACTACGACGACGACGACGACGACGCCGGCGGAGTGGCCGACTTGGTTGCCGGACTGGTCGCGTTATCTGCGCGACACGGCGCCTCACCACGTCGGGTTCTGCGCCAGCGGGATCTCGGCCTCGCGCGCGAAGTCCATCGACCCCAGACGTCTCGAGGTCTCGGGCTTATACTTCGCCAGCGTCTCGTGCGTCGGCGCGAAAATCACCACAAAGAATTTCCCAGATTTCCGCAAGGCTTGCCGGGGTATTGGTGTTGATCGCTTAAAGGAGGCTCCGTATCCGTATCCGTATCCGTCCCGCGGGACGTACCGCGACGCGTGGCTGGAGACGCTGACGCTGGCGCTGGGGAGAGTCGAGGATCGGTATTACGGTATTGGGTATTCTAGTCTAGCCGGTCTGGCGGCGATGATAGCTGCGCCGGGGGCAAGCGAGGCGGCGGAGGAGGAGAAGGCGTTGTCGGATGGGTGGAAGATATGGACTGTTGGGAGGATTAATGGGTGTTATCTTTTTAGTATGCAGAATGGGTATGTGGGAGTGATAAATGGGGAGCCGCAGCAGGGTGAGTCTTGGAGAGCACTGGTAGTCGGTTTGATGGTATTAAATGGGGTTGCTGACATAGGGAGTGTTTAGGCGATGAGGTCTTTGTGGTTCTTGGGTGTAATATGCCTATGCTTTTGAGACCGACGGCTGGTAAGGAGTACGAGGTTATTGGCGATTGCTACGGTGAGTATATTTTAAAGATACTTCTACTCCCTTTATCTTCTCGACGTAGGCCCTTCAGATTTTGCTAGGAACGAGCTCAAGTTAAGGTCCTTGAACTATAATTCCTTTCTCTCCCCCCCTTTATAGAAAATTCTTGCTAACTATAGTAACTATAGTACACGGTATTAGTAAGTCATCTTTGAGTTATCCCTCCTACCCCTATTCCCCAGGGCGCGGATAGAAACTCCCTCGTCAGGCTAACTTACATGGCATCTATATGCCAAATTCCAACACCCCATCCTTCCTACTACTCGTAAATATTACTAACCTCCCCCAGTGAACGGCGAAGCCCTCTTCGGCTCGATCCCCCCACCCTGGACAGCGCAGATAGGCACCGACGAAGACAACCGTGTCCGAGTGATGTACTACAACGAGGAAACCGAGGACCTATACAGAGACCACCAGCGGCTACATGAGGTCCCGGTGCCGCTGGGGTGGGAAGAGATCACCGAATGGGAGAGGTCCCGGGCCGACCCCTTGTATTGTAAGAGGTTCTACAATAAGGAGACGGACGAGGTGATTAACTCGGACCCGAGACTCTTTCCGGAAGCGTTTAGGGAGCGTGGGGTTCCTGTTGAGACTATCACGCTTATTTGATACTGTCTTTGGTCTATGTGATGGGGATAACGTGGTGTTCTATATGTAAATTGGATAGGTATAGTCCAGTATCGGTCGTTTTCTCATGGCTGGATGTTTTCAAAAGGTGTTCTACCTTAGTAGTCTATGGTTTCGGATGTTATGACTTTAGAGAGCTATTGTATAAAGTAACTATCGACTTAGTACTAGTTATGTGGAGAGGAGATAGGTTTAAAGCAAACGTTAGCGTGCTATTATGAATAAGTTAAATTTTGATATTGTTAAGCTATAATGGCAATTATATACCTAGTAGTAAATAGACGAATATATTTCTACGAACTCTTCCCCGAAGGCTTTCGTGACTGTGTCTACTTCCCCTGTGATAGATTAATTTATTCCTGTGTAATGCCAAGCTATAGCCTCATCGTATGTCTTGAGTCTGTAACCGCCTGTTATTGTATAATGGACTGCCTAATATAATATATTGTCCTCTACATTCCTAGAAGATCGTATTCTCCTCCTTGCTATCTTTTAGATACTCGATTACCTTACACGACAAGCCTATGCGACATCGGGACGTTAGCGTTTTTTGCCTTCCCCCTTTTCCCGGGCAATCTAATACTAGCTTAGGGAAGGTGGGCGGGATAGGATTGTCATGAGGGGTCAGCTACTATCCTGGAATCTATCCTTGTTCCCTCGTTAGAGCTTTATACTATTTTAATGTTTTTATTTAAAATTGGGGGTTTTTAATGAAAGATCTCCGAGGACTGAGCTTGAGTAAGTTGAGTTAAATGTAAACTTAGGGAAGTAAGATACTAGCCATTATAGACTTATCTCACAAGAAAAGACGGACTGAAGCTAGTCGATGTAGGCTTTAGTAAGGCAATGATATAAATATGTTGATAGCAGGATATTCCGCGGAGGACTTATACACGAGCTACGCCACGGAGCAAAAGAATTAATAATACCTCTTACCAATCTTGCCGCCGAGACCACTATTCACTGTGCCTATCACCGAAAAACAGCGAGCTTAGTAATTATTATAACCCACGGCTCTCCATTGTATGTACTGCTAGTGTTCTATATAAAGAGAGACAGGTAGACATTATCTCGATCTGAAAATATCTTCACGCCAGGTCTCGTGTCTCCAGGGAGATCTGCTTTGACCACCCTTAAATCAACGTAAATGGTATTGGCATGGTCGAGAAAAACAGGTTGGCAGCCACGGCACGGCATACACATCTCCCCCGATACGTCAAAGTCATCGATATCATCGTCATCATTCCCCCCTTGCCTCGTGAGAATACTCCTTACATTCCCTTTACTTATTTGCTACCTAGGTAAAACTCCTAGTACTTAGCCTTGACCACCGCCGTGGTAGGGTCATAGGCTGCCATACTCGTTACCATACATAAACATGTCATGCCGTCGCCGCCACGTATTATCCTCCCGTATCAGCGGACGAGGGGTACGTACGGTCAAAGGAAATAGGAAAATAGGAAAGAAAAACCAAAACCGAAAGGAGAACTGTATTTCAGTGATTTTCCCGCCTTTCTGTCGCAAATGCATGCAACAAACTCCGGTGCCCGATGAATAATGAGATGGCATGAGACTTAGATATTCGGTTGTCCAGATATCTCGAGAGGTGGTGAATGGCTTCGCACTCTCTTTCTCTGTCTTTCTCTTGCCGTAACCCAGGGGTATTTGGTTTACATTGCCCCGCTTTCGCCGTAATCCCCTTCGCGCCGCCTGATGATTAAACTCCTTTCCGCCGTTACCCAATGATCGGTGATGGTGGTGGCACAAGAGTAGGGAGATCTGTTTGCTTTTATGTGAGAACCCCCTAGCCTCCTATGTTCGTAGACACAGGAGAGTTCTAGAAATGGGATGCGGAACTATGCGGTACACTTTCCGGCGTCGGCGCCGAGATATTTGGTCATGACTGCCTTGAAATCATGTTCGTCGACCACGGCGCCAGAGCCGCCACACTTGGCCTTCTTCTGCAGGTCAGAGCATAATCCATCGAGGTCGAGGTCACCCGATTGTACCCTAGGACAGGCTTGCAATTTCTCCCTGTTTTGTGATGTTAGTATATACATATATATTATTATTGATTTATTTATTTGGCGAGATGAAAAGCAGAGAGAGAAGTGGGCTAACGTACCAGATGTTATTACATGTGAGCAGCTTGCCGTTGGGTAGGATAGTGTCCTCCGACTCCTTCCTGGCATCGATCTCGGCAATCAGGTTTTTCTTGTGAGCGTTATTGTTGTTATTAGACGCCGACGGTACATTGTACGGTGTAGTGAAGTCAACGTCGAAGGCATCATTGAAGAAGCTGTCATCAAAAGTAGCACTGGCCAAGATATTGTCCTGCGGCTCCCGGTAGTCGCCGAAGAGCTGCGGGTCAAACTGGCCTCCGTTCTGTTGCGACAGCCAATCTAGGCTTGAGAAATCCATATTGCTTAAGTTGTTGAAATCTACTGGTATGGTTAGCTCACAAGCCCTGAAAATTTAGGTAGTATAAATTCAAATATATTGGTAATACATACGAGACATGGAGTCGCTTGTGAGCGATGGTTGCTCCTCGCCGATTGTAGTCAAGGTATCTACCGGCTTGAATCCCAGCGGTGATTGGGTCAGCGGCTCCGGGGAGGTTCCGCACGAGGAACTGGGTCCCATATTAGAGTTCGCCGTTGACGAACAAGGCGAGCCGGTATTAGCCCCATTTACACTATAATGGCTAGAGTCTAGACTGGTTCTCGATGCGTTGGCACCAAATGTGCTATCGTAGGGAGACCCGGAAGACTTGGACGAGTTGTCTTTAGATGAAGCGTCCGAGTTCTCCCGGCTCTTCGTGGAGTTGGGGATAGCCTGGTCCTTGGACTTGTCCGGTGAGTTGGCCTGGTTATTATGGCTGTTGCTAGATGGTGACGAATAATACAGAGAGTTGGAGCCATTCTTTGGGGGGTTCTGAGGACCAGGGAGAACACCGAACTTGGGAAACTCGAATTGGAAGTTGACGTCATTGAGATTTTGTATGGCAGCTTGACCGAATACTGAGCTTCGTTTGGGGTTAGAGGCGGAATGAGGAGTGGTCAATAGCGTCAGCTTCTTCTTATACTCGCTAAGCTCCATTGTCAACTTCTCGATCTGGGAACGCAGTTGAGAGTTCTCGTTGTTTGTCGCCGCCTCCGCCTTTTCAAGTTCCTCTACCTTCGTCTCGAGGTCTTTCAGGTGCTTCTCCTTGCGCTCCCGGAACGCGCGCTGGGCAGCTCGGTTTTGGGCCTTCCTCTTCTATTATATAAAACGTTAGACATTGCACAATCCTTGGGGCTGCCGGGTAAACGCTTGCGACTTACCGAGCTGGGCTCGTTCGTAAGTGGCTTGCGGCCGGGTTTCTTGGGTATCTTTCCCTCGCTCTCTCTCCGCTTGCCACCTCCATCTTCCATGTCGTCTTCCTCGTCGTCATCCGGATGACTTCTCTTATCGGGACTGTCGTTATCAGGAGAGCTGGCTTTGGAATTCTCCTTTGGCGAGGTGCCTGGGAGATCTCCAATCATCTTTGCCTGGCCATCGTGCGTAAAATCGAAGTCGAAACTAGTATCGGGTCCCAAGTCGTAGTCATAATCCAAATAGGGACTCTCTTGGATACCATTGGAGATACCGTTCTGGGTATCGATGTTTGGGGTACCTTTCTGATTTTGGACGGGTGACTTTGTTGAAGACTCGGGTGAGAGAGACAGCGCATTGTTTGGGCTGTTGCTACCTCCTGACTGATTTGAAGTAAGAGCGCGGAAGAGCAGGTTCTGCTGCTGGGGCGTGAGGATGAAGTTTTGGAGAGCTTGAGAATGAGTTGAAGTCATTGTGGCGGGCTTTTTATTTATTTATATGAATGAATTGAGAGAAATATGAAATATGATCACGATTAGGAACGGCGACGAGGTATGAGACAAGGTAGATATGAATTGAATATGTTGACGTCTCTTCTTAACGGATCAAAGACGTCGATTAGCTCGAGTCGACGCTCCTAACGACGCTGGCTTGGAAGCGAAGCTGGACGTAGGATGGCTTGAAGCGCAATGCAGCAATTGCTGCGCTTAATGATCGACGTAACTCTTCAAAGATCAGATAAGATAAATTTCAAGAGATTAGTAGTTCTGAAGGTCTCGGGTATCCACGACCAGTCTTGCACAATGTTTGTAAGTGATGCTAGATGCCTGAAAGGAAAGGACAAATATTCGCCTCCCAAATGTCTTGAGGCTGAAGATGGAGGGATGGGAAGAGACGAAACAGCCGTCCTTTTTTTTTCGTATATTCTTTCAGAGGGACTTGACGTAGGGACCACCACTTGCTTACGCACACCCCCCTTCTCCTTGGACAAGATGGGAACAGCGTGTCAAGGTGAGAGGCGTGTAATAGGTATGTTAGGTATGTGTATGCAAAGAACAGATGTGTGACAAGCGCAGATTGAGTGTAGGTACGTTTTCCACGATGGAAGAAATTCGAGAGAGGGGGGTAGAAGACAGGCAATTTTCCGATTTGTAAGCGCTATATGGTCCAATATAAGAATATGTCAAAGACTGTCATTGTGGCGGGGAACATTTCCTCGTTCTTTGTACTCGGACTTTAGCGGAGCTTACCTTGTGGCTGATCGCGCCCTTTGCGTACCCTTTATGTTACGTCTACACCATATTTTCGTCTGTTCCTCAGACAGCCGGACATGTCGCTCCTTGCTCCCTGACACTGTCTCCACCTGAGGACGCTTCGAATCTCGAAGCGTTCCTTCGCCTAGGAACTAGCCTGCTAGCCTACAATAGCTTGCATTGTACGTATGTACGATACTACCGATAGGAACAAGGTAGGCCTGGTTTCAAACCTGGTGGAGAATATTTCGATGTGCCATACCTATCATATAGGTATGGGATGTTGGGAACAGCAGGCAAGCAAGCTTTTCGGGTTGGGTCAAGTGAGAGGTGAGAGTTGTATATTGTACGTACATGCTATGTACGTAGGTCGCTACCTGTAAGGTCATCTTGGCGTGAGATTTCTCCAATGAGAAGACGGTACGAAGTACAGTCGTACCGTTTGGGGACATGGGGAGGGGGGGCATGGGGGCTATTGTGGGACAGAAACGGCTCAGCGGCCACGGGCTGTTTGATGGAGCCGAGTCACGTTCCAAGTCGCCTTCTTTACTTCTACATACAGTACGGTAGTGGGCGAGTAGGTACTACTATGGTATGTATGCAGTAATTTAGCCTTTAAAGTACTTGGTGGAGAGGCAAAGTTGATTTAGTTTCGCCATTCTTCACTGTGTGCCTGACACCCACCCATCGGGCGTCGGACTCGGAATCTAATGGATCTCGGTGTCTGGTGGCTGGATGATGACTCGTTTCCAACCTGGTGCCTGGTGATCAGCATAATACCTTCCTAAGACGAAGCACGATATGTAGCAATGTGTAACAATATGTAGCGACATGTAGCCACTCGGCCAGCCCAGGCCCAAAGCAGTGGGCAGATCTGGATAGAGAAGTTCGTAGAACAAAATAAATTGTATGTAGATACCGATCAATGCTGGGATACCCAGGGATGCCATGCATACATACAGTACTTGCCAACGGACGTTAATACCGAGCTGACAGCCTCACAACGCGTGCAAGTACCGCATAATACTGTTATGATACTGTGTAGATGGTAATAACCCGGCCGATCTAGTGTACAGCAAGTTCTCTGCAAATAATTTTCGTTGGGGTAAGAATTCTAGAATGAGTACCGCTATTTCGCAGCATAAGAATATAAGCCCTAAACTGAGTTGCGTTTAGGAGTTCTTGGAAGTGCATGAATTTCGATATTGGGTCTTGTAATGCTTTGTTCTAGAGAGCTTGTGGGGGGGGGGATCGGGGGGTGGACATGTAAGTTGTCCACTATGAATAGACAAAAGCAACAACTCCGATATCGAGCTGACCGCTGTAATAGCACTGGAGACTACTGCATATGAATGACGGAATAATAACTGCTGCTTTAATATAAAAATGATAACCATGTAAGATATACATTACGTAGTTTAAAACCCAAAGCAAATATGCGGATTCTTTTGCGGATTTAAAAGATGTAGGTTGAACTTTCTATTATTTCCACATATAGTGTATACCTATCTGTGTGTACGAAGTATAGAACTACACTAATAGGCAAGGGCCGGTTCGGGATTAAGCCCACGTGATACGAAGTATATGATGATCCTTTCATTTATAGTCTGACTGGCAGGTTGCCCAGATGGCAGGAGAGACGGTAGAAAACTCCAAGCGCGGTAGCGATTTCCAATATCTTGATATTAAAGGTTCTACGTACGAACATTACATCCACACACATGTACATGCAATGTGCCTGCCATCCATTGGCAGTGTAGTACCTAGGTAGGTACATGTATTCAGTTAGTACATGTATTTGAAAGGTAATCGCGGTGAAGACCTACACTATGCCCGCTATTCCCCGCATTTGTTAAAGCTGTATAGGTACCTACATATCCGACGAACACGAGCTAAACCACAAGGGGTAAGCACTTTCAGGTTAGAAAAGTATCTCGTGTGCCAAATGTGCGGGACAGGTACAGAACATTACGATGATTCGCAAAGGGGGGGAAAGACCGCGTAGCCTTTCGATACGTCAATCGGCAGATTGGAAACGGTCAGCCTTGTCACTTGTCACCCAATCCTAGAATACTTAGAAATACCGATACCGACTTCATCATTCGATAGCAACGGCAATACATTTCCTCAGCCATAACAGCCATAACAGCCATAACAGCATCCCTTGTGATTTACGTAGCACCCCTCCATCTCTAATTCTGGAAGAGGGGTCTTACCGGATTACTTGTCTCTTAGTCATTCAGCTTTATAGAATTTTATACCCCTGATACCACGCCACCATGGATTTCGCATACGACCACATAGTCGAAGAAACCCTCCCGAAGGATAGTAAAGAGAATAGCAACGCTAGCAACCAGGCTGCAGAATCTTCCCAACCGAAACCCGAACATACTCTCAATGAAGACCTTCAGGAAGCATACCGTGCGTTCTCCAGCAGCTCTTGGGGCACATGGCTTGGTGGAACAGTCGGTAACGTTATCAAACAGGTATGTCAACTATTGGATTTTATAAGACCTATTGAATAACCTAGTATTTATTCTAGGGCGGGTCTGTATACAGAGAGGCACAGCAAGAGGTCACATCGCTCGGTGTAGATGCTACCCGAAGCTTGGCAAACCTCCGCGCGAGGGCTCTCTCGTTAACCACAACACCCCCCGTTACGGAGAGGGCGCCGCCGTCTGGTGATAAGGAGAAAGATCCGGAGAGAACCCCGACAACAGACAAATCGTCTAGTTCCGACGAGACGGCTAAGGACTCTGAAACGGTCATATCACGACTGAAGGCCGAGGCCGCAAAACGCTTGAAGGATATCCAACGTGCCGAGGACGCTGCCGACGAGGCGCTCTTAAAGTTTGGTGGAAACATCCGAGACTTCTTCCGTGAAGCTATTATTGTAAAGCCTGCTTCAGAATCAGACGACTCCAAGGGAACTCCCCGCCGGTTCGAGAGTAAGGATGAGTCCGGAAAGCGAGTAATTCACACTTCGAGATACGATGCACAACTTCATGTCCTACACACGACCGAGAAGAGTTTTACAGAAGATCCCACCGGTGCCGAATATGCTGCGTGGTCCAAGACCTTCGATGTAGAAAGCAAGACGGAGGTTATCAGCGCTGCCCTGGCTAAGTATCCGGATTTACGAGCGAACATGGAAAAGCTTGTTCCCGACAAGGTTCCCTACGCCGACTTCTGGAGGCGATACTGTTTCCTCCGACATAGTATCGAGACAGCTGAAGCACGTCGCCGAGATCTATTGAAGGGTTCGTTACGATTTGTCTTTTTTTCTACAATGATTCGAATCTAGCTAACATACTGGCATTTAGCCGCCTCCGCCGAAGAAGAGATTGGATGGGGTGAGGAATCCGATGAGGAGGAATCGGAAGAAGAGTCTGATGAAGAGTCCGACGACGATACAGCGCCAGTTAAGCCAGCGCAAAAGCCGACGGAAAAGCGCGCGCGGCCGGCTTCTACCGAGTCCTCTACAACAATTCACCCGCCGGCGGTTACCACTTTGGACAAGAACCGTTTGAAGCCATCCGAACCTCGTAAGTCCAACGATGAGAAATCTCAACCTGACAGCGATACGAGCTACGATGTTGTAGGCGCGGCGTCCGGAAATCCAAGCCAGGCCCCGAACAGTCCCAAGGAGGCCCGGAAAGCGGATAATAGCGATGACAGCGATGATGATGAATGGGAGTAACGCTGCTGCTTGATCCTTGGCATATTGCCTCTCCTCCTGTTGGTATGGGCTGTTCGGATTTGGTGCTCTCATAGGCGTTGCTGGTTTTTATTGGATTGACTCCGAACGCATGATATATTTGTCCGCCTCGCCTGCTCTGTTTATATCATTTCAAGCATACTTCCTCTCGAACTTGCTGTGCCATTACCTGCAACTCTACTCACCTAGAGTCTGCAGTTCAAAATTTGACATGGCATGATTGTGCTCAGCGCTTCTTTCGTGTAACTTTTGTAAAGCCGTCCTCGTCTACCTCTGGAGGCGTCTTCTCCTTAGGCGCTGCAACTAGAGCAGGCGCTTCATCCATTTCAACATCGTCATCGTCATCATCCTCGTCGTCCTCGCTCTCCCAGTCGGTCTCCTGATCTTCGGCATCCACCTCCTGAACCTTGACTGTTTTGCCCTTCGTAGCCAGCCATCTGCGCCTTAATTCCTCGATGAATTCGAAATCTCCGGCGGCGCATTGAGTGCGGACCTTGACGATGCGCTCGGCCACCTCAACCTCGGAGTCATCGTCGACATTCGTCTCGAACTCGTCCCACATTACCTGCAGCAGGGTGGCTTCAACATCCTCAGCGTCAGGCTCAGCGGGGGGTTTCTGACTAGGCTTGCGCGGCTTGGCGAGGTCGACGAAGCTGGGGAACATGTCGACGATCGCACCGGCGAACCAGTCGCGCTTGTCCTCGGAGTCGGAACCGCCTAGTCCGTTTTGCACCGCGACTGTTAGGGAGAGCCATAGGTGTAGCGAGATAGCTACACCCTGCTCAAACTGGAGCTGTTGGGTTTCTACAAATTTTGGTCCGGTTAGTATTTAGCGTAATAATATGGAAGAAGGTACAAATTAGATAATTCAGGGAATATATAACATACCCGGCGACGGTCCTGCTTCTGTCGACGCCATCTTGTAGGAACTTTTATGGCGGTGATATGCTTTTCGTTGAACCCTGAGCGTCGCATTTACATACGATGGAGGGGCATTCGCAACTTTAGCCCGTTCTTGATAATAATTTCTTCAATTTTTTTTTTAAATCGGTTCTACCGAGCTTGACCCGCATTTGTGTTACGCAAAGCAGAGATTCGATATTAGATCTACGCTAACCTTTTTTATCAAGCGCATTCCCGTTTCATGGCAGATTCTCCTTTTAGAGTAGCAGCTAACCTTGCTGAGGAACGGAATGTGCACTATCGTCTGAAACAAGCTGACAAGCAGCGCAATGACATCACCAAAAATGACCGGCCTGTAAAATTAAGATGCGAATTCGGGCAACTGCCAAGTAAACCAATGGTTAATCCAGGAGGTAGCTATCCACTTAGAAATAGACGTCGAGTTACATGAACATAACTTAATCTCTTTGTTACCCGCGTATATTCCGTAACCCACCCCTAATCTCACCATTGCTTTGGTCGCCCAATGCCTTGCTTCAACCACACGAGTCATCACAGCTTGTAGAAAGCTGCTTCTTTGCAAGCTACACCTGTAATCCAAGCTAAGCTCGTAGACACACGACCATGAATACGGCTACCGTATCTATGGCGGTTACGCCAACCGTCCTGTCGACCTTTCTGTCTCACGTAGGTGCCCAATGGAATACCTTCCTGTCCCATCTTCCCTTGTTCGAAGTTGCCTAACTATTGTATTCATAAGGAGAGTTCATGCTAAGATAGTGATAATGTTGTAGTACCTTAATCGCAAACCGTTACGCGAACGGCCAACTGCCCATCTTTCGTATGACGAGGGACTACACCTCATACGGTCTTTCCTTTCGTTCGCGTCGCATCACACGGTCGAAGACATCCAAGCCTTCACTTCGCAATGGGTGCCACACCCGCAATGGGTTAAAGTCGATCAAGTAGAGATCCCGGAGTCCAAGCTTGTAGAAGCTGCGGGCGCTTTGCAGGAGCAGTTAGGACCGGATGGTATCAAGAAGGTCGGCGGCCGGAATTGGTGGCAATGGCGGAAGCCTGGCAGTCCCCTCAAGGCGGAATGGATCGAGATGAAGGCTGATTATCATGAGCGCAAGAAGACTGGCGACCCAGGCAAGAGAGTCATGCTCTATGTTCATGGAGGTGCTTATTTCTTCGGAAGTGTTGATGAGCATCGGTACCAGATGCAGCGACATGCGCGGAAACTGAAAGCTAGGGTCTTCGCGCCTGAATATCGATTATCTCCCCAGTTTCCCTTTCCATGTGGCCTCCAGGATTGCTTAGCAGCGTATTTATACCTGCTTACGACTCAGGACCCAACTACAATTATTCTTGCCGGAGACTCAGCTGGCGGCGGGATGGTCTTAAGCATGCTGATTACTATGAGGGACAGAGACATCCCTTTGCCTGCTGGTGCTATTCTTATTAGTCCTTGGGTGGACTTGACACACTCCTTTCCTAGTGTTTCTCAGGATTGCCCTCTAGATTATATTCCCCAATGTGGCTTTCATCATAAGCCATCCAAGGCGTGGCCTCCTCTGAATGCGGACGAGTACGCGGAATTGGTTGAAGAGGTAAATAAGAACAATAAGACGGGCCAAGCCAAACTGAAACCCGCTTCGGTGGAAATGAAGCCTCTCCCTCAAGACCTCGCGCAGCTTAATGCGATGGCAACAGACAGTGACTCTCCGGGCGCTACTCTTGCCGAAACCTCATATATATCGATTAATCTCGATGGCAAAGAAGTTAAGCTCAAAGATCAGCTTCAGGTATGTAATACAAAGCAAGGATCAGCAAATATATACTGACATTCTCCTAGATGTATACAACCAACGAGCTCCTATCGCATCCTTTGGTTAGCCCTGTTATGCAGCCTACCCTTGGTGGACTACCACCTCTACTTATCATGACGGGTGGTGGGGAAATCCTTCGAGATGAACAGATATATCTAGCACATAAATGTGCCAATCCATCCCAGTACCTACCTCCAGAGTCTTCGATGCACGAGTCAGCATACGAACAATTGAAGCGTTTTAAACCAACCGATGTTCAGCTTCAAGTTTGGGATGATCTGTGCCATGTCGCACCAACTCTGAGTTTCACTAGGCCGGCAAAATTCATGTACCGCTCGATAGCCCAGTTTGGTGCTTGGGCTTTGGCGAGAGCCCAGAAGACAGGAATTGAGATCCTAGATGATGATGATATCTCTGTCATATCGAACTCCAGTGTGAGTTCAGATAATGAAGTTACGGATACAGTTACGGATACAGTTACTAAGGAGAAAAGTAAAACGGAAAGTGATGCTGAAGTTGAGGTAGGGAAAGCTGGTGACCCCTTGCCACCATTCAAAAATCATATGATCCGCCAGCGTGTCAGCCGCCATGGAGTTGTTAGGCACCTGGAGCCTGCCTCCGAGCTGGTTGGTTGCACTATGGACCGGAACAGCATAGGCGTTGTCAAGGAGACCCCAGTACGAAGGTGGCTTGAAACGCGAGCTCAGTGGAATAAACGCTATGGTAGCATCCGTACAAAGATACACAAGAAGCGTCTTAAGGAGATGGCCGCAGGTTACGTGGGGTTTGACGGAGAGACACCACCTCCAGCCGCTCTTGCTAGCAGGCGTAGGGGAGCCGAGGACCTCGCAGAAAAGAAGAAGACGAAGAGTATAGGTCTTGCTCTATGGTCGCTCTGGGGATCTAAACACGACGAAGCTACAGTAACCAGAGAAGATGAAGCAGATAGAGCCCCAGAAGTCAAAGATGCTACTACCGAAGAAGGAGAGGGAGCCCGCTCACCAGATGATCTTCAAAGGCAAGGGAAGGAAGTAGCCAAGCGAGAACTTGGGCATAACCGAAGCCGATCAAGGACGAAAATAGTCAGGGACGAACAGCAGATCGCCGATGATGACGTTAACGAAAGTACCTCCATCGATATGCTTATGGCTCAGCGTGAAGAGAAATCAAGACAAGCCGAGTCACTGCCGTCTCCTAGAGGCAGTCTTCTCACGCCAGATTACTTTTCGCATGAGACAGGTGTCGCGGGCAAGCGACCTACTGTGGGCGGCATCGCTGTACCTTTCAGCCTCAATAAGGAGGCCGAGACGGCCAGCATGATCACATTGACTTCAGCCTTCGACCAACCAGATCGAGTTGCGAGTCCTAGGCCATTGAGTCTAGAGCTTGATGCCATGGCAACGACCAGTGCCGCAGTTGTCGCTGCCGTCACCGAAAAGGCGAGGGATGAAGTAGTTGACCCTGACTTGCTAAAGCAACAAGGAGCTGGTTCTCGTGAAATTGTCGTCCCTATAACCGCCGACATGGCGGACGGTCCTAGGACCCCTATGGCTGCTTACCCTACGCCAGGTAGCGAGGCCATCAGTACGCCAGCAACGCCGCTGATCACTGTGGGCGGGGTCGGTACAAGCCTACAAAGGCCACCACTGGAGACATTCGTTACCGCGCAGGAGGATCTACCTACCACGAAATGATCCTTTTATATTTGAGGTGTTGGTGAGAAGGAAAACAACAATATACCCGGTACACTATCTCATTTGTCCGGTCTTGGATAGTGCGTCGTGCCATTTTATTCTTATTTTTATATACCCTCGTTAGTAATAATCTAGTTAGTAATAGTATTCGAAATTGAATTTGAACTTGAACTTTGAACTTGAAGTAATGGTGGTATGTGCTTTATAGATATGTGGGTGTGGGTGATTTATATGGTACAGATTTTACATTTAACTTCGACCTGATATCATCATGACTTTCGTACTGTATAAGTCGAAGAGCATAAAGTCTCGTCAGCCATCACCATATCTATATCCATAATTATGGCGATTTGGGGTTCGCTCAGTCTTAGCCGTAAGTCTAGGCCCTCCTAGTCAGCCTGTAGCAGTAACCGGTTTATTTTATTTTAGAGTTTTGTTTCTTTGAAGCGATAGACCCCTCAATCCAACCCGTTCTCCGCCTTCCACCTCTCGAGATACAGCTCCGGGCTCTTAGGACCCATGCTGTAGCCTTCGTACCGACCTCTCGTCGGACGGATCCTGCTCGTGACGAACGGCGTTAACTATTATAGTACGTTAGTCTTTATTCTTGGCTACCCTCTGCTCTGCGGTGGTGATAATTAACAATATATATATGAGCATACCTTGAAAGCCTCAAGCCCCGCGGGCACGACGTACGTCCGCACTTTTTCCCAGTCGATAACGTATCCTCCGAACTTGGTGTGCTGACCCATGCTGCCTGATCGCGTGCCCTTGTAGAAGCCCTTCTTGATGTCTTTGGTTGTTAGAGGGAGCTTGCGGTAGCGCTTTAGGAGCGCTTGGGTGGGCTGCATCGTGGCTGGTTGTCTCTTTGATGGGATATAGAGAAAACAATAACCGGATAAGTTTTATATATTCGTGGCAATGCGCCCAATTGATCGGTGTGGGCGTGGGTATAAGTGTCGCACGGGTTGGAAGTTGTTTTGTGAAGTTCGCGATCTTGAAAATCGTCGAAGTGGATGGGTCGCATAGGTAGGTACTTAGGTACTTACTAGGCTCAAGTTTGTTGGTTGCAGTTTAAACTGAACCCTGCAAGTTAGAAAGTTGGAGCTCCCCCCACTATCGCGGCAGAAAAAAAGTCTAGACACCGCTTTCGTTTTGTAAGAATTCGCATTATCGATTAACTAGAACTAATAACCTTGAAAGTTAATTCTAGGGACTGAGCATAGCTTCGTATACACTCAATTTTCGAGAGGGAAATTCTAGTATAGCGCGCGATATACTACAGCTTATAGACACCTTTAAAAAATCTATGAAATCTTAGGCAAATTCGCACTTTTCAACATGCCAGGCCGGCAAGCCCACGGACGACCCGTCGGCGGCGGCGCGACGACCAACGGCAAAAGTAAGAAGAGGTCGAAGTCGAAAGCTTCTAAGAAGGCCCTGAACGCTTTCGCCATCGCATCCGAGGAATATGCCGACCGCCAGAAGCGCACGCCCCGCAACCGCGAACTTGATGTGCCATTAAGTGGTGGTGGCGGCAGCAAGCATGCTAGAGACGACGATGATGACGACGATGAGGATGAAGATGAAGATGAGGGGCCGCCTAGGAAGATGCGCCGTGGCGCTGAACGTGATGAAAATGTCGAGTATGGGAGTGACAGCAGCGGGAACGAGTGGCGAGTTGGCGTCGATGAAGATGACGACTCGGAGATAGAAAGTGACGATGCTTTTGGGGAGAGCGACCAAGAGCGCTTCGAGGACTACACTTTCCGTGGGAGTAAAAAGAAGCAGAAGAAAAAGGTAATGAGTGATAGATTGGGTCCCTCTTCTATGGCTATAACTAATGCAACTTGTAGGATGATGATGAGGATGACGACGACAGCGACGAGGACATTGGCGATGCTGACGGTGCTTCTCTCGGATCTGATGCCATCGATCTTGCTGCAGCTCTAGATATGTCCATGTCAGAGGATGATGGGGAGCCTGGAGCTGACGACGAGTCTGGTTCTGACGAAGAGGAATCCGACGAAGACGATGCGGCATCCGGCAACGAGTCTTCCGACATTGAAGACGACGAGGATGATGACGTATCAGACTCTGGAATCAATGCATGGGTTTCCAAGTTCTCCGGGGTGAAAGATACAGACGATCAGGATGTCGTGCCAACTAAGAAGCCAAAGATTGGGTTGAAAGATTTAGGCTTATTAGGAATCAAAGATCCCCAGTTAAAGAAGTCCCTTAAGCTTATGACCAAAGAGGAGAAATCGAGCAAGCCGCAGAAATTAGAGGTGCCCCTCGCAAGACGCCAGCAGGCAAAGCTGGATCGCACTGTCGCATACGAGAAGACGAATGAATCTTTGGACCGTTGGACCGAAACCGTGAAGCACAACAGAAGAGCGGACCATCTGGTCTTTCCGCTCCCCCAGACGGAGACCGGTCTCGCCAGGCATAACAACAGCGAAATCCAGCCCCTAAATCGTAAAGCGCCGGGAACAGAGTTAGAAAAGACCATCCTCGCAATTATGGAAGAAAGTGGACTTGGACCAAGTACCAAGAAAGAGGACAAGAAGATGGAAGATCTAGAATCCGCAGATGCCGAAGGCTTGTCAGGAAACAACCTCAAGGCCCTATGGCAGGAGAAGCGTCGCGAGAGGGAGCTCAAGTCCCGAGAGGATGCAAGATCAAAGCGTATTAAGAAGATCAAGAGCAAGGCCTACCATCGTGTACACCGAAAACAAAGGGAAAGAGACGAAATGAAGGAGCATGAAGCCATGGTTGCCGCTGGGGAGGTCGATTCGGAAGATGAGCGTGAGGCTCAGGACCGTCAGCGAGCTATGGAGAGAATGGGCGCCCGACATCGAGAAAGCAAGTGGGCTAAAACGTCCAACAAGAATGGGCGTGCCGCATGGGATGATGACGTTCGAGTGGGTATAGCCGATATGGCCCGACGAGACGAGGAGTTGCGCCGCCGTATCGAGGGGAAACCAGCAAAGACAAACGGCGACTCAGATGAGGACTCAGATTACTCGGGCGGCTCGGACGATGTTGATGAGCGGAAGAGACTACTCCAGCAGCTTGATAACGTTTCCGACGATGACGATGCGCCAAAGTCGAAACTAATGAATATGGAATTCATGAAGAAAGCAGAAGCAGCTAAGAGGAAGGCCAATGATGAACTAATAGCCGAAATACGGCGGGACCTAGCCTCAGATGACGAGGCCGCTGCAGACTCGGACGACGAAGGCGCGGATATTGGTCGACGAAAGTTTGGCCAACCGTCAGGAAGCAAGTTGGAGAAGTCTAGCGAGAAGCTCATCAAAGCTAGCAAGAAGGACAAGGCAGAGGCTACAGACCTTCAAGCAGCCAGGGACAACATCGCAGCCACAAAGTCCGGTAGGTCAAAGGGCCTCTCAGCCCCAGTGTCACAAGATGCAGACCCAAGTTCCATAGCGGGTGCTTGGAGTCAGCCTACAGTAGCCGGTCCGGCAAGGAAACAAAAAGGCAAGAAGACAGGGTCCAGCGCAGAAGTGCTAGAGCTAGGTATCGACTCGGTGGCTGTTGCAGTCTCTGCAGCACCGGCCAAGAAACCCAAGCCAAGCAAGAAACAAGTGATTGCCAACGGCGACGACTCTTCAGATGACGAGACAAGCCACCTGCCTATCCAGTTCCGCGAGCAAGACCTCATCGAGAAAGCCTTCGGCGGCCTAGACGTAGTCGCCGAGTTCGAGCAAGAAAAAGCAGCAATCGAAGAGGAAGACGACGACAAGATCATCGACAACACACTTCCTGGTTGGGGCAGCTGGGTCGGCAGCGGCGTCAGCAACCGCGAGAAGAAGCGGCACCAGGGGCGGTTCCTGACCAAGCAGGAGGGCGTCAAGAAGAAGGACCGCAAGGACGTGGGGATGCAGAACGTTATTGTTAACGAGAAGAGGATCAAGAAGGTATGTAATATCACTTATTTTGGGATGAGATGAAAGCTAATTGTTGATAACTACAGAACGACAAGTTTATGGCCTCGCAGCTGCCGCACCCTTACGAGTCTAGGTTGCAGTATGAGCGCGCGCTGAGGCTTCCCGTGGGCCCCGAGTGGATGACCAAGGAGACGTTCCAGGAGGCGACGAAGCCGAGGATCTTGATGAAGCAGGGTATTATTGCGCCTATTATGAAGCCTACGCATTAAGTAGGACGGCTGTGGTGTGTGGCAGCGTTTGTCTGGCTTGGGCTGGGGGTTGGTGCTATATCTATATGGCATTGTTAGGAATGGGGTATCATGACGGTGGGTTTAAAAATAGAAATGTAGGGCTTGTTAGCCTCTATGGATATATGCCATTGATTTATTCATGAATCTGTAATGGGAGCCCTATACAACCCATGAAGCAGAGCTGTAACGATGCCATGAAAAGGGAGTGAAGATACTTGGAAGGCCATTTTTATCATCTAGTCTTAAGGTACGCATTGTAATGATACACATTATCAAGCATCCTCAAAGCTTCGTGGTAAATATTCTCCGTGTGCTTTCCTATCGTATAGACTCGTTCTCGGCGGGGTATAACTATGCAACTACCAACTATTTCCATCATACATACCTGTCTATCTCATGCCCAGTACTAGTCTTTTAGGTAGGCAGTCTAGTCTAGTCCTCTTCGTCACTGCTATCCCCAAATATAGCCTTTAGCACATCGTCCTGCGCTCGCTTGCCCTCTACCGCCTCGTTGACTTCGGCGTTTACCACCGCTTCTTCTATCTTCGGTGGCGGTGCTTCAATCGCCTTCGGCACTGGTATCGCTATGTCTGCATTGCTACTAGCCTGTGTCTGCGCCGACTGCAATAGCTCATCTAGCGTCATCGCGCCAGTCGTAAACATAGGCACACCCGCACCCGCGCCATATGAGCTCTTCGGCGCTGGCCCCCTATCTGACTCCGGCTGCTGGTCTGGCTGCACGTGCGCAGGGGGCTTCACATTAAACCTCTTGCACAGCAATCTCGTCGGGTAAAAGTCGCCTACGGACCTCGTCATAGAACCATACATACCCAGGCTTGCAGCTTGTTCCGCGGGGTCGACCGGTTTCTGCGGCGGAACGGACAACAGATCCCGATCTGAGGGGACGGCGCCGGAGGAGCCGGTAGCTAGTTTTGAGGTAGATGAAGAGGTAGTAAACCGCGAGGCCATGGCACCGGTCATAGGCTTGAAAATCAGCGCGCAGCTGCGGAATTCGTGCAGCTCGCGTAGCCAGTCTTCCACGCTAACACTGGGGAGTCGGGAGGGTGGGTTTGCGTTGAATCCAGCGGCCCATTCGAGATACGCCCTATACCGCGCGCGCTTCGCCTCATCATCTGCATACGGCGCGGCGCCACCGCCTGCGCCGCGAGCTATCGCAGCCGCAGCAGTCATCTTATCGAGCTCGGGGATCTGGCGCAAGAGCTCCTGCTTCTTTTCCTCCTCGCTCAAAGCGTATCCCTCGGGGATCTCGCCCAGGCCGGGAGGAAGATTAGTCTTTCCGGTTGCGGTGGCGAGGCGGTCGCGCGCGGACGAGGAAAGGAAGTCGAAGACGGATTTGCCGGGGAGTTGGGTCTCGCCTAGGAGCGCGGCGCGCGATTTAGGGTCTAGTTTGGATGCTTTGGCTGCGTCGGCGGTGGATACGTAGCCTGCTGCTGATGTGTCGGATTCGCGCTGCTTGCTGGGTTTCCAGCCTGGTGGTATTTCAGGAGGCGGGTACTTGTTGACTTCGGTGTTGATGGTAGATGATAGGTCGTCCGTCTCGATGCCAAAGACGAAGCCGTCAAGGGGTAGGCGGCCGTCGTGGCATTTTCGTAGGTTCTTGCCTGCTTGTGCAAGGGCGGTTTTTCGGGATATGAAAACGGGTGCGGAGCGCAATGCCGGGTTAGCTGATGTTGTTATGTTCGCTGCTTTTTTCTTCTTTTTATCCCCTCCTATAACTCTATTATATGATATTCGCGGTCCGATCTCGTATGGATCTTCGTCGTCGGATCCCGTGTCGTTTAAGACGCCAATACCGATCCCACCTTTTCCAAATTTACCCGGCTTCTTTTTCTTAAGCGCGCCTGGACGTATTAAGGGCCCGTTGT